CAACACACACACACACACACACACACACACACACACACACACACACACACACACACACACAGAGTCTCTGAGAGATAAGAAGAAAACTCCAACTAAATATTACCAAATCTCCCAAATTTTAAAGAAAAGCAGCAAATAAAGACTTCTATATGAAATATCCTAGATTTTTTAATGTCGGCATCTAACTAAAAATTTTGTATAACACCATAGATTCAAAGAAACCTGCCTATGTGCCAAATATAACTTGTCAGTCATCAGTTTATACCCTCTACCTGGGAGATTCCGCCTCCCAAATCATCTCCAGCTTAGAATTTAGACTTGGACTTCCTGGACAAGGAAGAAACTTTCCTTTTTTTTGGAAACATATGCTGTGTTAAGTTGGCTATGTTAGGATTTGTATCAAAGGATCTGAAGTCCTAGTTGCTGTGCCCAAAGGCTATGATCAGATGACTGATCTCCAGGCTGCATTGCTGCATTGTCCCGACATTCCCATGACATTCTTCTTATTTATTGATGTTTTATCTGATTCTTCTCCATATTGGGTTGTTGGATAGTCTTATTCCACTCACTGTGTGTGTGTGTGTGTGTGTGTGTGTGTGTGTGTGTGTGTGCTGAAGTTGTGAGATGGGAATAAGTTTGCCTTGCTCTAATAACTGACAGAAGTTTAGCATAGCTAGGACATATTGAGTGCAGTGATTGATGGTAGAAAGATTGAGGTGCAGGAGTGGAAGGGAGAGCGGTGGCTCCATAGTGTAGTGGCTAGCACATCTGCTCTACACGCAGAATGTCTTGGGTTCACGCCTCGGGTGCGCTGCGAGCACGTGGGTGGAGATGCCCCACCTTCAGAGATCCACTTCTTAAAGGGAAATGGCAACATCCTTAGGTTAGGAGTGGAAGTAGGGGAGGAGAATTAAAGAGGCGGGGAAAAAAGAGTGGAAGGGAGAAAACCACTTAAGAGACTACTATTTAAACATGAATTTTCAACATGCAAAAGTAAAATAGTTTACTCTCATGTACCTTCTCCCTAATTTCAACAATTATATCATATCGGTATATGACCAATTTTGTTTCTTCTATACCCCTACCAAGTCGCCCACTCCACACTGTATTATTTTGAAGCAAATTACAGTCATCATATTATCTTAGTCATAAATACTTCAGAATATATCTTTAAAAGGCAAAGATTTAAAAAATAAGCATAATATTACTAACATAAATTCCTTAATATCAAATTTCCCTAATTGTCTAATAAATGTTTTTTAAAAGTTTATTTGAATCAGTATCTAAACAAGGCTTTTACATTGAATAACATAAGCAATATGAGAAGGAACCAACTATGCAAAAAGCTTGAAGGAAGAATATTGTTTTTAGCTAGGCAGAGTAAAGAAGTTGTGAGCTTAGAATAAGCTTGCCAAGTTTGTTGTAATAACTGACAGAAGTCCAGCATTAAAAGGGCATATAAGTACAGTGATTGGTAGTGGAAGACTTGAGGTGCAAGAGTAGAAGGGGAGAGACCACTTAAGATGCTACTTTAGTGATCCAGGCTAAAAATAATGAGAACCTCGCTAGGATGTTGGGAGTGGCTGTGGAGAGAAGGAAGTGTATTGGGACACTGATGACTCAGATTTCCGTTTTGGGTGACTGGATGGATAGACATACTATTTACAGAGGTAGAGTTTGCTGATGATCACACACTTAGCAAGTGGTAAAAACAAAACAAAACAAAAAACAAACCTGGAATCACACCTTGGTATGCAACTTAGACAATACTTTTCTCTGTAGCTGGTACTCCACAGGTTCCTTGGAACTGAGGCAGCTGCAGAAATGCCTGATTCATTGTCCTCCAAAGATTAGGGTTTATTTCAAAGGCTCCCAGAGGGTGATATCCCTGTCTCTGGTAGATATTCTCTTAGCAGAGAGCCAGAGGCTCTTGCCCATCTGGATACTGCCTCTAGCATGCAGCGAAGCCATTCACCTCCTCTGAGCTGACAATCATGCAAAGCAGAAAATACAGATACAGCAACTACCATTAAACATACTATCAAGTCCCAATTTTTAATAATGGCATCACTCATTCACCCAGACTCAAAATTTATCATTAATTCTTTTTTTTTTTAACTCAATGTCTTTTTTATTAAAGGTCTGTTTAACTGGAGCACATGTGGTTTAAGACTTGATCTTTCCTTCATCTAGGTTATCCAAGTGTTTCTAAATAAACAGTGCGAAATGAAAGAAACTACTAAAGGGAAAATTATCTAGAGATAGCCCAAAGAAAATATTATTATTTTACCTTGTATAGGTTACAAGTGCATGCGTGAGGTTAAATTATTACAATTTCCAAATTAGCAAGAACAATTTAGCAATAAGCTTAATGTGTTTCTTGGAAAGAGTAGAAACAAAAACCAAAAAATGAAATCCTTTTTTTATAGGTCTTATTTTTAGGAACTAGATTAAAATATGAGGACAATAAAAAATAAAACATCCAAATTGTATCTTCAGTTAACATTGCTAAGCAAAGTTTTAATTTTTTAAGTAAATTTATTTGGGTGACATTGGTTAATAAACTTACATAGGTTTCGAGTATGCAGTTCAATAATATGTTTATTGCATTGTGTTTACCACCTAAAGTTAAATTTTCTTCTTCGATTATTTGTTTCCAAAGTTCTATTATTTCTTTCTTCAAATAGCTCTTTTGAGTATGTAGACATCGTTGCCATGAGCATATATTGGAAAACTACACTGCCTGGATTTGACATCCCAGTCTACCACTCATTAGCTGAAAGTTACTTCACATTTTTTGCCTCATTTCCCTTACATGGGAATATTAATAGTGAAAAATCAGTACAATATGTGGCATATAGTAAACACTCAGTAAATGTTAGCTATTATTAATTTTCTTTCAAGATTCACTGCTATCTCATAAGCTTATTGTCTTAATTTATTCTTTTCCCTCAAACTTTATTGAGTTATATTTCACCATTAAAAATAGTATATATAGGCCCTCTCGCTGCTCTCTGCTGAGCCAGCCTGTCAGAGTCTGTTCTCCAAGCAGGAGGAGCGAAGGGACTTCAGAGAGTCAGCGGCTGTATTATTTTCTTGCCCCTCCCTCTCTCTTGCCCCACATTTGTCTTCACCCTCTCCGCTCTTGCTCACACAGCCATAGCGGAGCCGTTGGTGGCCACGCCATCCCTGTCAATCTCCTCGTCATCCTCCAGGGTTGAGCCATCTGCCCTCGACAGCCGCTGCGGTGGTGGGAGCCCGGGAGCCTACCTCGCCCTGGGGCTGAAGAGCTGCGGCTCCTTCCTTGTGGTGCATGATCTGATTTTCTGGCGAGTTGTGACGAAGACTCGATTTGTCTTTGGCACCACACTGATCGTGGTGCTTTCACTGGCAGCTTTCAGTGTCATCAGTGTGGTTTCTTACCTCATCCTGGCTTTTCTCTCTGTCACCACCAGCTTCAGGGTCTACAAGTCTGTCATCCAAGCTGTGCAGATGTCAGAAGAAGGCCGTCCATTCAAAGCCTACCTGGATGTAGACATTACTCTGTCTTCAGAAGCTTTCCAATAATTACATGAATGCTGCCATGGTGCACATCCACAAGGCCCTGAAACTCATTCATCTCTTTCTGGTAGAAGATCTGGTTGACTCTTTGAAGCTGACTGTCTTTATGTGGCTGATGACCTATGTTGGTGCCGTTTTAAATGGAATCACCCTTCTGATTTTTGCTAAACTGCTCATTTTCAGTGTTCCGATTGTCTATGAGATGTACAAGACCCAGACTGATCACTATGTTCGCATCGCCCCTTGATCATACCAAGTCAATTGTTGAAAAGATCAAAGCAAAACTACCTGGAGTTGCAAAAAAAAAAAAAAAAGAAAAAGAAAAAAGAAAAGAAAAAGCAAAATAAGTACATGGAAACCAGAAATGCCACCATTACTAAAACACCAGCTAATAGTTATAATGTTGTTACTTGTACTATGAAGGAAAGTGGTCAATATCAGCTTAAGCCTGCATTCCAAGCTATTTTTATTTTTATTTTTTAATTTGGTGTTTCCCCCTCCTTTCCCTTTACTGGCAATATCAAGCACCAGAATTGTTGAACTAAAGAAAGAACTTATATTTCAGAACCCATAAGAATAAGGACAGAATCAGTTTGATAAAGTTGTCTATATTTAAGATGTATGATTTGGTGATTTGATATATATATATACATTGTGAAATATTCACAATCAAGCTAATTAACATATACATCACTTCCAATAGTTATCTTTTTTTTTTTTTTTTTTGTGGGGTGAAAAGGCCTAAAATCCATCTTGAGCAAATTTCAAGTATATGGTACAATATTGGCTATAGTCACATTGTTGTACATTAGATTCCCAGGACTTATTTATCTGGCAAAACTGAAACTTTGTGCCCATTTACCATCTTCCCATACCCCACCACCAGCCCCTGGTTACCATTCATATTGTTTCAGTGAGTTTAACATTTATATTCTACATACTACATGAGATCATATAGTATTTGTCTTTCTGAATCCAGCTCATTTCACTTAGCATAATGTCCTCTGGGTTCATTCATGTTGTTACAAATGGCAGAGTTTCCTTTCTTAAGGCTGAATAATATTATCTATCTATCTATCTATAATATTTGCTTATCCCTTGATCCACTGATAAGACACTTGGGTTGCTTCCACATTTTAGCTACTGTGAATAATGCTGCTATGAACATGGGTGCACAAATATTTCTTTGAGTCCCTGCTTTCAATTCTTTTGGATATAGACCCAGAGGTGGGATTGCTGAATATTATAATTCTATATTATATTATGTCTTTATCCATTCATCCATCAACAGGCACTTAAGTTGTTTGAATAATTTGGCTTGTTTTTTAAATGAAAATATATTAGATCTTTTAATTTTAATTTTTCAATTACAGTTGACATTATTATTTCACATTAGTT